AAACCCTCAGACATCAAATAGATTGGTCTGATAGTTTCCCACATGGAAACTACAAATATATCCCAAGAGCACATGTCTCAAACAAACATTAAAATATCTGTAGAAACTTTCCTCAACAACAAAATATAATTCAAAACATAAAATATACGATGTAAGGATAATGAAATTTATCCTTGAAACAAATTTGACAAAGCAATTTCAAACATGTTGAAGGATTCTCTCTGCAAAAATGTTCACATCCGCTCTCATCAGTATGAATCACCATTTCCGGTTGTGGTAAGAAAACCAGGACGGGTTCAAACAGAAAAATTTTGAAAGCAGAGAAAACTGTGCTTCTTATAATCAGCATGACTTTATCAGATGACAATACCAAATCCAGGTTAACATAAGGCGTTGGTACTTTAGTTCAGTCACGGACCCGCGGGTGTGTACTAGTAGTAATAATAGCAATGGCAATAATCTGCATTTATTTGCTCTAAATATTGTGAAAAGGATTGGGGGTCGTAGTGTTAATGTCACAAGTGTCCCCAAAATTTAGTATAAAGTAGAAATGGACATTGTTCTTTTAAGAGATCATAAAAAGTTATACATAAAACATTTCCAATGATCATAAAACCCAAGTTTTATTATCACACTCCTAACTATGTATTGCCACCTTAATGTTACTCCTGTTTTCAATTAAACGGTATTTTCTCACTTTCCGACATTTTTTTTTTAGATTTTCTGAATCACATGCATACGCTCTGCAGGTAAACGGTTAATAAGTGTTGAATTATTCTGGAAATTAAGGTTTTTTCTACCCCAAAACAGATGACCCTGGAAGTATTTCACATAACTTTTTTGAATTTTTGACTTTAAACGCTCTTCAACCTCATATTTGATTTGACCTTCCAACTTTTTTGATTCGAAAGCCTCTAATGAAACTTATGTGCCCAAAACGCGCGTCTGTCGTGCCGAATTATAAGTCTGGAACCTTTGATGATTTTGTTTCATTGGATAATTTGATTGTTTTTCTTTCAATTACTATAGCTGCGATCAATTTGAGTTAAACAAACTTTTTGTTAACGAATATCCTCTATACTAGTGATGTAAACTGTATAAACCACACACCTGTCTATAAGCCCAGACAGACATTCATTATTCCAGAGGGTTGGGTAAATAAAAGGTTTATTGTTGCAGTAAAATTTATTAACCGATAGTGAGTCAAAATTAATATCAATTTATTAGATTACTGAAACAGGTATATGGTGTCATGGTGTAAATTTCTGTGAATTTATTTCATAACTTTTCAATACTGTTTTATGTTGTTACAATCTTTTTCAATCCTTATGTCGTAATCTGCTTGAAGTTCAATTAGTAATATAGACATTAAAGAGTCAATGTCATTTTGTGACAACGGATTAAGCTTAACTAGTACTGGTGAATAGACCAAATTTGTCAAATGTATATTAATTAGTGTCATTTTATATTCGTGCAATTTAATATTTGTTATAAAAAGAGACATTAAGAAAATATTATAAGTTATATGGTTCGCTACTGACCCCCTACGGATCCATAGAGGGTTAGTAAAATCCATAGGGGGTGAGGCCGAAGGCCGAATCCCCTGTGGATTTTATTCACCCTCTATGGTCCGTAGGGGGTCAGTAGTGAACCGTATAACGAATTTATCGCACGCGAGACTTTTTCTGCAGCGTTTTGTAGAAAAATAAACAATGAAATACAACAACATCAATAGATGACGTCACCATTAACAGTAGACGTGACGTCATGAACCCACTATGAAATTTACTAACCCCCTACGGATCCATAGGGGGTCACCACGTGACGGCGTTAAACCAATCACAACGTAATAATTTACCCGCGGTGCGATAAAGTCAGTGAGGATTACCGAACGTTAGAATACGGACCCCGTATTGCTAGATTTAAGGACTTTCCAGCGGACTGTGCGTTGTTATTGTTTTATGGACTTCCATATGTAATTTTGTTTTATGTAATTATATTGATTTAGTTTGGATTTAACAATTATAGAACATTGAAAGTACAACCTGTGTATTTTTTTATTTATTCAAATCTACCGCTAGTTCCCCCGTGTTGTAAAATTACAATATGTCAATTGGTGGAGCGACTTAAAGATCCCTTGTGTAGAAGAATATATGTGGACCAGATCCAAAGGACCAATAGACCCACATCACTCTTGGCTATTAAGTATGTTTCCAGAAAATGGCACCCCTGCAACACAAGCTGGAGAAACAACTCTTATCCTCCAACAACTAGGAACTTCTGGTCTCCAACAACCAGGACCTTCCGGCCTCCAACAACCAGGAGCTTCCGGTCACCAACCAGCACCAATGGCAACAGCAACAACCACTACAACTACAACAGTACCTACAACAGCAACAGCAACAGCTCCAACAGTGAGTATTAATGCACCAGTCATTGCATATCAACTTCCACCTCAACCATCTACCTAACCAATACCGCCAGGTTTCCAGATAGAGCACAAAATAAATGTTCACATAAAACCGTATGATGGGAAAGTTTCGCCAAGTCAATGGTGGCAAAAGTTTCTGGCTTTTATAACACTTCAACATATGACAGACAAACAAGCGGTGCTATCATTGCCGTTCCATTTAGAGGATAAACCAGGTGAATTGTTTTCAACCCTAGCCGATGAGGCAAAACAATCTTTGGCAACTATCAAGAAGGCCTTCATAAGCAGATTTGAACCAAAAGTCAGTTCAAGTATTAACTTGACAAAATTAAAACAGTCTCCAACAGAAAATATTGAAGATAACATTCATCGGACAATTCAATACAATAAATATAGAAGTGCCTCAGTACCTTTTTTAATAGAACTTGCTATTAATGGAATGAAATCCTCAATTGCCCACATAATCATTCATCAACAACCACAAACGATGGAAGAGTTAAGGAAAATTGCTTCGATAGCTGAGATGACAGTTAACCAAACAAAATCTCAAGATGAAACTAACCTAAATGACAGTGTGGAAAAATTTGTGGCATCAGCTGAAGCCAAACTCATGGACAATTTGGCAGAAAGATTCTCAAGTACTATTTCTGCCATCAATTCTTCCATGGACGAAAAATTGACCAGTTACAACCCAAATACCAATAGACCAGTTAAAAACCATCAGTATGAACAACAACAATATCAACCACAACAACAGGCTAATTACCAACATCAGTACCAACCACAACTCCAGAATAACTATCAGCCACGACAGCAATTCCAACAATTCCAGCAACGACAGCAATTCCAGCAATTCCAACCACGCCAGCAATTCCAGCCACAACAGCAGAAAAGAACAAGATATCAGCAGGGCACAAACCAGAGACAGCAATGGCCACCACAAAACCAGACAAACCAAACTACAAATTGTAAAGGCTGTGGTAAGTTTTGTATATCAAGGTCCAAATGTCCTGCATTTAATAAGTTTTGTTTAAAATGTGGTAAACAAGGTCATTTTCAGTATGTATGTGGGCAAAACTTTCAACAGTCTGTCAATTTCCAATAGGGGTGCGAGCCTGCTTGTAGGCAACCAAGGTCTATAGGTGGGCATAATGACAATCACAGTCATAAGGCAATTGTAAATTTGTTGACAACTTTTCATCCTCAAAAGAGTACTACACAAGTTTCTGTTGGCAATGCGAAAACTCATGCTTTGTTAGACAGTGGGGCAAGTATCTCAGTCATGCATTCTAACTTTCTAAACAAAACTACATATGCAAAAGACAAACTTCTTCCTGCTGATATACCATCTATAATTGCAGTGAATGGTGATCATGTCAGAATATTAGGCAAAATAAAAATCAAGGTCACAATAGGAGAAAGAGACTATCAACAAATGGTATATGTGCTAAATAAACTTCACCATTCATTTATATTAGGGGTAGATTTTTTGAAAAATTCACAGTTACTTTAACAGACAACCCAAGCATATCAACTGTTATAAAAATGGACACGAAATCTGGGTTAGCAAGAGTCAAAAATGCTGTTATAATTCCTAAAATGTCTGGGAAAATTATATCAGTCAAAATTTCAAGACAAAAACATGGCGCTGAGGTTTTACTAGAACCACTTCACCTGGAACCTTTGATGATTTTGTTTCATTGGATACTTTGATTGTTTTTCTTTATTACTATAGCTGCGATCAATTTGAGGTAAACAAACTTTTTGTTAACGAATATCCTCTAGTGATGTAAACTGTATAAACCACACACCTGTCTATAAGCCCAGACAGACATTCAATTCCAGAGGGTTGTGTAAATAAAAGGTTTATTGTTGCAGTAAAATGTATTAACCGATAGTGAGTCAAAATTAATGATATCAATTTATCAGATTACTGAAACAGGTATATGGTACAAGAATAGAATACAAACATATAAAACTTACAAATAGTAGTAAGCGTTTTAAAAATACAGAAATTATATAAGTATCGTGAAAATCTACTTCCTTTTTTGTCCACTTCTCAAAACTAACATATATCCATAAAGAAAGTTCAGCAGAATCCGTATGCTGGTTACATATTCAGTAAAAAAAATGTGATGAATTGCAACCATTATTATCTTTATTAATTTTCTAATATATAATTATATATGTATATATAATAATTCATTTCAAATAAAGTATTCTTATTATTTATTCATATTTAAATATAGTTAAGCATTATTTTGAAGGTATTCATCAGTACACAAAGTTTTGCAACACATTTAACCTATTTACTATGACATAAGACAGGGGTCATTGATCGGGATAACGTGACTACGAGGAATTAACGATCATTGATTAATGGTTTTATTTTTTAGATAAATAGTCTAAAAATAGGTAAAGAAATTAAATGAAAATGATAATACTGATTATCATTAAATGACTGCTATATAACTGGAGGTAGATTGCAATAACAGAACGAAAGTAAAGAACTATTTTTGTTTGCTTATTAAATTACTTTCGGTTTGTAAGAGGAAGTAATAAATGTATATACAACTTTAATCTGAAAATGCCAATGGAAACTTGTAAAGTATGTGACAAAAACTCAGCGCAATTCTTTGACTGTGAGATTTGCAGACTGTATTGCTGTAGAGATTGCTATTCGACACATATTGGTTCGTGTAAATTTATAAAAGATGTTAAATGCAGCATATGTACAATTCACCAAGAGCAGGTAGAAAAATATTGTTTTAACTGTCGTCAGCTGATATGCCATGAATGCCTTAAAGGTGGTCATCCAACACATACTATACTCCAGTTAGGTATAGCAATTAGCAATATCAAATCAGGAATACCAAACGCTGAGACAGAATTAGCAGAAAAGGATGATATGTGTCTGCAAAATCTCGATACATATCGAAGAATACAACACGATTACAAAGATATTGTTAGAAGGGTCAAAGAAGAGGAGACGAAATGGAATACATTAATATCCGACATAAGTCGAAGTCTTGTTCAACCACTAAATACAAACATAGAATTGATTGAGACAAAATGCAAGGGAGTAGAATATACTTATGAAATGATAAAAGATACACAACATCAATTCAGAGACTTAGAAATCACAAAATTCCCACTGAATTTTTTGTTCAAATGGTCAAATGCCATGCAATTAAAAGATAAAAGTGATGAAAGATTAATGGGAAATGTCATTAACAAACAGATTATAGAAAGAAGCGAACTAGAAAAAAGCAAAGATATGGGATCGGTTTTCCAAAATCTTGTGTCGTAAGTTGTTATCTATTACCTATATATATAAAAAAAATCTTCTCACATACTAAGTTATGTACAAAAAATGTGCCGAATACCATCAAACATTATCATTGAAATATATATCATACGTATACATTTACACTACAACTTCTGTGTTGGAACTGGTCTTGGTGGACTTATACTCCAAGAGAGCGCCTTCCGATAAGTACTAAAAGCGGTTGGTATTTGCATAAATAAGATTGGTCATTTTGACTTAATTTTGGTAAACAAACCATATGTCTTGCATAGTTAAACTGGTAAAGATTATTGCAAACATTGACAATTCTTGGTTTAAAAATGTTATTTGTTACTAAAAATTATGTTTTTGTTTTCGAAAACTAAGGTTACCGTTCGCTCAGACAGCAGTTTTCACTTACGATCAAAGCTATTCTTGTATTTATCATTTTATTTAATGCAGCATAAATGTACATCTTTGGTTGACAAATTGTTTGCTCCTGGTGTTTCTGTTGAGGTGTCTTGAAAAAACTTATTCATCATATGCATTCATTGCAATATTTTCTTATTTTACAGACCTCAGTCGTTTTATATTACAGATGTATATGTGTTGCTGAAATGATTTTCATCGGGAATGTTCGAGGCTAAAAGTTTCAAAAGTCAACTAATCGAAAAGAAAAAAAAAAACCAAAAAAAAAACATGACTCTTTTTTTAGTTTGTCCATTCCTATTTGTTTCAGTTCATCTATCAGTGTTGCATACTTTAAATAGTACTTGTTTATTTGAATCTTGAATGAACATTACGAGGGTCCTCGTAAATTTAGATTTTGACATAATGCATTGACACCTGTATTTTGTTCAAGACTAAATGTTGCCTCTAAATGACTACACCACATTATAAAAATATTTATTGAAATAACAGCAAACTGCAGGTACGATACTCTGAACCCGAAATTTGTGTAATGGTGTAACTTAATTGTACTATCAACATTTTGCTAAACAAAAAAATACCTCATAATTACTTTAACTGTAGAAATATTGCGAAGATGAAAGATTCACCAGCTGAAACAATGGACACACTTACAGCTCAATTTTCAGAATTTAGCCTGAAGGAACCGCCTTCTCAAACAATGTCGGGCCGCCAATTTCAAGACCAAGAAAATTATTGCAAAGACACATCTGGAAATGCAATACATTTAAAAGAACAAAGTTGCAAAGAAATAAGCAAGTAAGCATACGAAATCGACCTCTTAGGCCATTGATGCAACCTTCTTAGAAATAGTCTGTTCGAAATATTTTTTTTTTAAGTCGTAACTTTAATATTTTGCATATAAACACTTGACTAAACTTTTGTAGAATAGTTATCCGGTTGTCAAGTCAAAAATTGGACATGCTATTGTTTGATGCATATGATACTCCCAATGTGACTTCTTATCATTGTTACAATAAGTACCATGACGACTGTCACTGGTGGTACACATATATACGATGTTTTTTTTATGTATTCCTCTGACAGATGCAGTCGATTGGAAAATATAATAGACTACATGCACATGTAGTAAACTTCAAGCTAGGTTTTTGATTAAACAGAGAAGTGATGCTAGTAATTTGAAAAGTTGTTTCATTGTGCATTCGGCAGACCCAACTGTATAGAAATGTGTAGAAAGGAATACTAAACTGATCTTGTTTAGTCTTGATTAGATATACGCTTGTTTTCAAAATGTATCTTATATCTAATTTCTTTATCAGAGAGTTATATAATTCGATTCACAATAAAAAAAAGTGACACAGTAAGGGCTATTGTCTCTCGGGATAGCAATGCTACACTATTTAGAACGCAGAGAGCCGGCTTGTATAAACGTGGAACTTTCACAAATCAGGAGGTGTTGACTTGAAACCGTCAATGTTTAGCTCCATCAACATATGTTTGTAGATAAAAAAGGTAATCGGAAAACTGTGGTTTATAAATAGAAGATAGTCGGAAGATACTACTCTTTGAAATACAGAGACATTTTATACTTATTGACTTGGTATGAGTGGAATAGTAAGTTTATTGTCCCCGAGGTGCAACTATTGCCCTGAGGCGTAGCCGAGGGCAATATTTGTATCCGAGGGGACAATAAACATACTATTCCACGAATATCCAGTCAGTAAGTGTTTTGTTATACCGAAAGAGTCAACAGACAATAAATGTCGGGCTAAATCAACTATCGTAATATATAAAAAGCAGAAACACAACCATACTGTTTCACGTTTACTTCATATATATTCTGAATGCTAAGGCTACGTCACGCACAGACGTCAACCCTAGATACAATAGGTAAAACGCGACGTCGTAACTCCCGCGGTATTCTCAACATTATCCAATTCCGTAGCTGCATTTGCAATTCCGCGAAATATAATGACGCTTGCGGTCAAATAGTTTCACCGAGGTACAATAGTTGGAAACTATTGACCGGTCAAATAGTTCAACGTTTGCAATTTGAAAAAAAGTGAAAATATTGTGTACTTTTTTTTATATAGAAAATGATAACTGAGGTATAATAAATTATGTTATAGACTGATTAAAATAAAATGTTGTTTAAGAAAATATTTAATGATAGACGTTTTACATTGAATTACTGAGTGTGATACGATATTCTCCACTTTAGACAGTTTAATACACCTTATCGCTATTTGTCCGCCATTACTAGACATCGCAAAGGTTCCCGTAAAATGTTGACGTCATAATAGCAAATGTCTGACGCCACAAAGGAAAAGTGACGTCAATAGTTCAAGTGTCGCAAATACTGAGGTCAACTGTCGCACATTCTGAGGTCAAGTGTCGCAGGTTCCGAAATAGCGATAAGGTCTATAATTATAGTCAAAACACGAGGCTAGCATTTATTTAACTGTAGAAATTGGATAATTATCGTATTGCAGGAGTTTCTGTGGTGAAATCTGTTTCTTCATAATTTTAGATTACATAAAATTGAGAATGGAAATGGGGAATATGTCAAAGAGACACGCAGACAAACAGTATCTTTCTTGTTTAAGTTTCTACGAACAGAAATGTTCTTTCTATGAGACGCTATCAGACACGGTCGCCTTTTTTTTGTGACGTCACAATAGGAAATTAAAAGGAAATCAAGAAAAATATGACGTCATAATTGAATTTCGACCAATGAAGAACTTATCAAAAACAAACCACACGTTTATTATAAAAAAAAATCATCCGGTCGGGAAAAGTATTTATCGAATAAGAATAGAATAACGAAAAAGGACGGATACTTGCATTGATTCATGCTACCTTGTCTAATATGTTTTAAAAAAAACATGAGTTTTCCTAAATTTCGACATTTGTGTTAATGATATAGAATGACCATTGATTTCAGTTTCACTTCACACAAGAGAGCTTGTCCAGAATATAAGAAACTGACGTTTTTGGTAAAAAATGGAAGAAACAAAAAGAATTAATAGTACTGTTGTACACATCTGCTGTATCATGTAAAAGCAGATTCATTGGCAATCATTCCACATCTCTATATCTACTTATTTTATATACAACTTTAACATATGGTTAAAATTTTGGTTTTACGTAGTTTGTGTTCACATCTACAGTAGGAAAACCAGATGTGCCTTTTTGGCCAAAAGGTGATTCGGCGGCGCTCAGCAGTCCAACGCGCAAAATTGGACTATTTTGTGTCGGTCGGCGTCAACTGAAAAATGACGCGCTTTCGTTAACTTATTTCATTTGTTTAATACAAAGTGCTGATGATTACGACTCTTGAATATAAACATGTTTATGTGAGAAAAATATATGAAAATACGTATTATTGTCATTTTTATATTCTAAAACAATAGGAAATCTATGCATAGAATTAAGGATTTTGATTTTCTGCGCTGTAAAATTAAATGGCAAATTAAATATTCAAAATGGGTACAAAAAAAAATAAATATCCTTCGATTTTCTAATAAAATTTACATAATTTCTCGCTAGTATTTGGCATCGAAATTCGTAAAGAAAAGGGGTGATCACGCCAGGGCAAAAATTTGCACCCATTCTAAAGTAGGGGTCTCAATTTTATAGATTTTTCTTTGCATGTGCGGTAGATTTAGAAATTGGAAGAGCTTCTGTTTAAAAAGTAGATATTCATTCAAATCTCACAAGAAGTTGAACCTAAGTTATTTAACCCATTTATAAATAACAATATGTGTCAATTAAATTGTAGAATTATAGATTTTTTTTCGAAATTGAAGAAGGCGCTATTTTTGTTTTTTTTTTTCTATTACGTCTATAGGTCTGTTATAATTATCAGCTGTTTCTAAAAAATCTCCGCCTCGATTTTTTTTTATACTTTCATATAGTAGCAATCTTTGGTACATAATGTAGATGTTATGAAAAATTTAGACAATTATATCGAGTAAAAATGGAGAACGGTCATCTTTATTTTGTGTGTCCCCACTACGGGGGCGTGGTACTCCCGCAACCTTGTTTCCGAAGTACACGATAGCTATTCATCTCTCGAAAATAATTATCCGCTTAAGAATTAAAAAAACATAACAAATATATTTTAAAACATTAATAAGTGTTAGCTGCTAGTGATATTTTGAAGCAGAATTGCCGGAATCCACCTCAACCGAAGTTGTATCAGTATATATAATATAGACCAACGTTGCATATTTTCGGCGCCGAAAATGTCAACGTTAAATGTCATTAAAAGTTAGATTCTTTTCTTCTTTTTAGCATTTTTTTTGTGTATCTAGATGACAAGGAAGTCATGCTATATGTTGAATCCATATCAACGTTTGACCAACACAGGCCAAGCTTGGCAAAATTTCAGCTATAGGCCTAAATGGAATTGATTTGTTGATAAATATACATCTCTGACATCGTACTTCGTGGATCCATATTTATTTCGTGAATTGTTATTTACCGATGTGTTTTTAATGAACATCTACTTTGAATATGCCAAAGAAAATCTTTCGTTTTTTACCTAATTTTCTTTGTCTGTTATGGTTTTTGTGTAGTTTTGGTTTTTTTTTGGGGTGGGTGGGTTGGGAGGGGGGCTCTTTTAAAATTTAGTTTTTAGACAAAGGCGTAGGTCATTTTTAGGGGCTCATGCTTCTTAATTTCTGGTTTGCTTTGTATGTTTAAACCGTCTGTGACTTTACTTTTTAAAATCCAATGTGCAGCATCTTAGGGGAACAACCATTTGATATTCTAGGTGGTCGGAGGGCGTGCAGTAGGATTTTTTCTGGATTGACTACAAGTATTTATTTGCATCTATTGTACTTATGTATCCTGTCATACTTTGAATGACAAAATTATTTTATTTTATTAATATTACTTTTACTGTTAAGTCTGTTTTTGTGATATCCATCTGACGTGACTCTGTACTTATGTATCCCATCATAATTTGAACGACAAAATTATTTTATATCTACCTGTGTGACGTCAAACGCGCGATTCTACGCCAGTATTTAAAACCTTCCATCCTTTATGGGTGGATTTTACATAGATAAATAAAATCGTATAATAAAAAAAGCAAAATGAGGATGTTAAATTTGATGTATGCCTTTTTGTGCTTCTTTGTTACATTTGTTTGTTTTATAGTGATTAAGATGATAACACAATGTTGACTACTGAACCCCTATTTTTGACATTTTTACTCATTGTGTCTGTTTGTTTTGTTCACGCATCGTTGTCAATATAATGGAATTTGATGCGACTGTCATACAATGGAGAGGTTTAGCTAGCTATAAAACCAGGTTTAATCCACCATTTTCTACATAAGAAAATGCCTGTACCAAGTCAGGAATATGACATTCGTTTGATGTGTTTGAGCTTTTGATTTTGCCATTTGATTAGGGACTTTCCTTTTTGAATTTTCCTCGGAGTTCAGTATTTTTGTGATTTTACTTTTTGCTACACATCCTTATTTTTTTCTAAATTTATTTACACATTTGTATACATTTGTATCCTGATCTATTCTGCATTAAGATGCAGAATATTTATTTTCAGCTTGTCTTGTGTCAAGTTATTTATTTCCAGTTCATACCAGGCCAGGTTAAATATTTAAAAAATTCTCCTGACCCACTGCTCATTGTTGAAGGCCGACTCTGACCTATAGTTGTTAACTTCTACATCATTTGGTATCTGGTGGAGAGTTGTCTCATTGGCAATCATACCACATCTTCTTATTTTGTAATCTGTAATCAATTTTAAAGCAGGCCAACTGAAAGGGAACTATACTACCCATAATAAGTAACTACTGTAAGTCAGAAATTATTGCGTGCATTAATTATTGCGATTTTTGAAGAATGGACAAAAATGCAAGATTAATTATTGCGATTTCAGGAAAAGCTGCATACAGATTTATGTATCAGATATCATAATGCGAGTTCTTATTATTGCGATTCTCATCCAGTTGCATTATTCGCATTAATAAAAACCTCGCAATCATTTCTGAATTTACATTACTTCAAAAAAACTATTACATATAAAATAATGAATGAAATATTTCATAGGATAGCTGCCATGAAAAATTTTTGTCTGTTGTACACCTATATTCTCCTTTTGGTGGCAGGGGCTATGTTGTATGGTTGGCTGTATCATAGCCTGTGATATGATATAGTTGTGCAGCGTTTAATGCAGGTGGCATATAGACCCCCTTCCAATAATTGATTTGGATAAAATCACTAAATTGTTTCACTCAATCTCAACAACAGAGCAAAAGGTGAAGGAAATCAATCCAAGTACCCCGGTATTAGCTGCATACTAGATTAAGTATGATATGTGATAAATACTCAATTCTGTATGAAATAAGTACCATAACTCTGGAATGACAAAAGTGAGCTTATTTGATCAAATCTAGCCTTGTGATACAATTTCTTGAAAAGGTATAAAGCAAAGTTGAGTTTTTGTACTACATTTGAGTAAATGTCTAATTTTCTTGAATACATTCCAATAATTCTGGAATGACAAAACCTGGATTTGTCAAATGCAAAAGGGAGCTTTGTTTCGTCAATCCTAATCTTGTGTTAAAATTTCAGGATAATGGGTGTAAGCATTTAGAGTTACTGTACGAAGTGTTGATCTTGTATATCATGAAAATTGTGTAGGATCGACCAAACTCGCAAACTCAGTGATATGTTCGTTTTGTATATATGCTGAATAAGGGTTCGACCCAGATTTGATTTCACGATTCACTGAACATGGAAAGATTTGCTATGATAGTGCGAGCGGGGCATGATGTCCTAGGGCAACATATTATTGTTTATAACTGTAGGTGGTGCATTTGTATCCTATCTTTTTTTCCCTCACACAGACCTTCACAACATACTAATGACTTAAAGCCAAAGATAGACATCTTTGAGAAAAGAGTTTCCGGTTTCATGGTTAAAAATGAAGAGATGAAGCACAAAATTAGGCAAGTATACATGTTTATAGTAATAAATTCTTTTAGAGGTTTAAATACAGGCGGAAAACTTCCTGTCTGTTTTTTCAAAGTATGTCTACTATAAAATATAAATAAAATTTCCGGCGAAATTTTAGTATATAAGAATCAATTACTTTGCATTTGTGGACCATGATCCTCATGTCCAAAATGCTTGACAGCATTTATAGTTCTATTGACTCATTCTTCAATATTAGAGATTCGACAAAAATATTTTTACCGTTGACAACATTATTTTCAAACATAGAAAACTAAATCGAAACGTAAAAAAATACTAGTTTTTGAAAGTTTTGTCATATTTATCTGACCTTTGATAATGTTGAACGATACAATCTTCTAAATTAAACAGTCAATTGCATTATATAGTTCCTGCAGATACTGTGACATTATTGTAGCCTGCAATAATTGTTTAATTTCAGCAATAATTTTCTTTTAACCATAATAATGTAAATCAATATGCACGGAGTAGCACACAAGCATTTATATTGTAGAGCGGCATAAATTCATATCATTTATAGCTAGTTAAGTAACTTGAAATTTCCTTCACCAAATGCGAGCATTATTTGATACGGTATATACGTTGCTTTTTATATGCTTGTTATCATATTTTGTTTATTTATTATACCGTTGTATCAATTAATAACCTGTGTTTCCTCTACTGAAATTACATGTTTGCTAACTTATATGACCGTTTACAAAAATGAATTTTTCGAAATACCAAGGATTTTCTACCCCAGGAATAGATAACCTTAGCTGTGTTTGGCAAAACTTTTAGGAATTTTTGGTCCTCAATCCTCTTCAACTTCGTACTTTGTTTGGCCTTTTTAACAATTTTGATTCGGGATTCACTGATGAGTCTTTTGTAGACGAAATGCGCGTCTGGCGTACAAAATTTAAATCCTGGTATCTATGATGAGTTTATTTATATACATCCTGTGTTAGTTCACTAATGGAGAAGAGGTTGAGATATATATGTATATAAAGAGTTTAATGCTACCACGAATCTATGAGCATGTCTTATGTCAAGAACCTCATCTGTGTTTTTTTCTTATGTTATATCAATTTATTTTGTATTTGGAGATAATATAAGGTGTTGCTTTATCTGCGTGTGGGTTAAGTTAAAAAACGTTCACTGCTTTTGATACGGGACGATTTAGAGCTTGCATAGACACCTATATATTGAAGAAGAAGTACGTTGCCCCCTATATGTCTTTTGCTTATTATGGTTGTTGGTTTGTTGTTTTATTGCCGTTTACAATGTTTATGCCCCCGCCGTAGTGGAGGGGGCATTAACTTTTACCCTTGTCCGTCTGTACGTCCGTACGTCAAAAAATTGGTTTCCGTTCTCTAACTTTATGCCTTGTTCACACGTACATTTAATTCGAATTGAATTCGAATCGAATGCCAATCGAATTCGCTAATCGCGTTCACACACTCTTCTTTTTTTTAAATCGAATCGAATTCGAATTGGCTAATTCCTTTATCCAGTTCGCATTAGAAATGCGTTTTCGTTAATAATTCGCTTTAATTCGAATTAAACTGTGGTGTGGACACTTTCTAAATTGTAATTCGAATTAAATTATAATTAATTAATTGATAATGCGAATTAAAAGTTACCGTCGTTTGGACAGTAAAGCGAATTTGACGCGCATTGCAATTCGTATTAAAATTTACGTTCAAACGTAAAATGTTTCGAATGCGAATTAAACTAATTCGAATTAGTTAATGCGAATCGAATTCGAATTACGTGTGAACGCAGCATTATTTTGCCTCAACCAAATGTTATAAAACTTATACACACTGCTTATTACCACAAAACACAGATCAAGTTTGAATTTTGGTGGCGTCACTTTTACCGTTCTAGAGTTATGCTCCTTTACAAATGGAAAAATTGCTGAATTTTTCGTTTCCGTTCTGTAATTTCAGTTTGCCTCAACCAAATGTTATAACACTTATACACAATGCTCATTACCACAAAACACAGATCAAATTTGAATTTTGGTGGCGTCACTTTTACCGTTCTAGAGTTATGCCCTTTACAAATGGAAAAATTGCTGAATTTTTCGTTTCCGTTCTCTAACTTTAGCTTGCCTCAACTAAATGTTATGAAACTTATACACAATGCATATATGCAAGCGGGGGCATCATCTGTGTCCCATGGACACATTCCCCATTTATTTTTTAATTCATATTTAACCCCTATAAGTAACATAAACATTAGAGGCAGTAAAGAGGTTATTCATTTCGTTGCATCCTAAACGGTGCATTCAAAGTAGAGCACGCATTACTATCAAAAGAAACAAATCCCATTCAAGAGTTTTAACTCTCAAGAAATGTTAAATAAGAGTTATCTTAACATAATATTTTTCACACTTTTGTAAAGAGTACCTAAACGACTGAAACAGAAGAACAAATTCCCTCTTTGAGTTGCACACACTATCTTTGGATTGAAGATTGGTCGTAACTTTTATATATTATTGTTTTATAAGGACATACTACTAAAATTATAATTGTGTGTAATAAAAATAGTACATTTATATTTAATTTAACATGACATAAAACAAAAGAATTGTAATTCTGTTTGTGATTCCTTATTATATTGCACGCTGCAAAGTAGCGGGGGTATATATATATACCTGTCCGTCAGTCTAAATGTTGTATCATCTCTGTTTATGTATAATGTTTCAATGTGTATTGCGTGGGAGTGTTGTATGCTTGCTCACTAATGTATTTAATTACGTTTATTTCCCTTTTTCAATGTATGAAGGAATAAGATGGAGGAATCCGCTAATCTTATATTTCAAAATGAAAGGTTGAGAGAACAGATCCAAAACATGTCAGATGAAATGGCGTAAGTTTATAATGTACGAATTCTGATTCTAATTACTATTTACCTCACTTTGTTAATTAATATAGTAAGGAAATGTCAGATGTGTTTAAACTTTACGTGACTTAATCTGCTTCCAGCATTCTACAGCCCTTGCAGAGTAAACCGAAAACAGTCTCCACTGAAACAAGTAGACCGATATTTAAAGGAGCTTAAACTCATCATATAAAAAAAAGGAGATGTGGTATGATTGCCAATGAGACAACTATCCACCAAAGTTCAAATGAAGTGGATGTAAGCAATTATAGGCAACCGTACGGCCTTCAACAATGAGAAAAACCCATACCGTATGGTCGGCTGTCGGTCTAATATGTTCAACTTTAATAATACTTTTTGTAGGAAATGAAATATAACATTCAATTACGTCTATGATATACAGAATAATAGCATTTTCATTTTTGATACTGACTTTATCAGCAAGAATATGAAGCGAACCCGCTAAGGAGAGCTGGTATTCGAGCTGATAAAGTCAGTATAAAAAAATGCCATTATTTTTTTTTATCGGCAATTTGTCTTATAACTGTATGATTTTTGGTTGAAAATATGAAATACAATGAAATTATTTTGTATCAATGGTTCTGATTGGATGACAATAGGCGTAAAATTCTCTATCTCCCTGTCTGTAACTAAGGAAGCCGATATTTTGAATACCGGAATGTATTGACATGTGATTTCTTCAATAATAAGCCAAAAAACTCACATTTTCAGTTGGAAAGCAGGTCACGGTTTGACCCCAAGTCTATCAGCAACAATAGAGTCACGTGACCGTGAAAATTCAGTAAAACTACGGATGAGACAAACCTCACTTTTACTCACTAAAATACCACTGTCATGGTAAAAACTTATTGATCAAAATAATCTTGAATATACATAGTTTTAACTCGTCAAAACTTACACATCAACTCAAAGTCCTTTATTCTTTATTTTATCTTCAAACTTGAAGTTTGTGTGAAAATTGTCCATGCTCCTGATCGAAAAATCTAAATATTTTCGAGGAAACTAAAAATGATGGGCTGAATTTAAATTTAATTAAGCATCTCATTAAGACAAACACTCGATATGAATATCTAGGCAATACAGTTTTGGATACGCAAACGTCAAGTTATGTTCAACACGAAGCGGTGGTTTTTTGCCGATTTGTGCAAGTGGTTATCTCCCCTTGATACCACCAGTCAAAATAAAAAAACACCAAAATGAATAAAAAGGAGTTTATTTTACAAAAATCAAGAAGAAAATAAAAGAAAGTCGATTAACAACTATGTTATTATAATATTAAGAAGAGATACTTCCCTACTTTTCAGAGAAGGATTACAGGTAAAAATTAAAAGACAAAAAAATGGTAAAAATAAGATCTAGAAACCTAGCTGAACTGATATAAATTAGCTCTGGCTGATGACATTTACTTTCAGTTTGCAATTTTTATAATGGGATATGGGATCACTCCTAATGGATTTTTTTAACTACTTCTAACAATGTTTAATGCAATAAAACATACTGTATACAATTTAAATAATCTTTCTGAAAAAAAATAGTACTGACCATTTTATATACTTTATATTTTAATATAGTGGGACCAAGAGTCAAAATTTAGTTTCTTCAAAGTAAAAAAGCCTTTTAACTCAAGCCTATGTTTCTTAGTTGAACAGTACAGTACAGCCTAGAAAATATCCTACAGAAAAAGGAAAAGTTTACCAAAAAAATGACAAAAATTCTGTAAAAAAAATGCTTAAAATTATAAGTGAAAGTGACATAATTTTGAATTTAAAAATCATTATTATTGTAAAATTCAACTATTAGATTAGCTAGCACAGTAGCCTTTGTCCAATTTCTCAGGGTATTTTATAGATTATGAAAGTAAACTCTTTGAAAAAAAAATGGGACTTCTTCTCTTCAGGTTGCTGTATCTGCTGCTTTACATATTTATTAACAAAGTATTGTATATTTTATCTGAATAATTGGATATTAATCTCAGAAATGAAAGTTGGTATGACAAATCTTGTGCATTTTACTTTAATAATGATCAATGATGATTAAATTTGACAAGAATTTGCCATTTGAATAAATTCAATTTTGTAAGAACACATCTCTATGAATTAATTTCTTGTTTGACTTGAAAAGCTAGTGTTTGCTCTTATTAATGTAGCTTACTTAGTAAAGAGATAATTAATAAGCAAGGTTTTTAACTTATAAAATATAAATATAATCAGCTGACCTTCATTTCCTTTTTTCATATGTTTTTTCCTCCAGAAATTTTCTTTGCAATGCATTTTCTATTGCTATTTTTGTGCTTTTGTTTATCCATAGGCCATCATTAATTTGTCATATTTGCTTCCAGTACAAATGAAATTTTCTTAGACCTATACTATAGTTTCAAACGCCATAAAGAAGAACTTTGTTGTTTCACTTGTCCAATGTGTAAATTTTCACTATGCACATGACCCTGACACATATTTTGTAAACGTTATATGACGTATGTTGAAAAAGAAAACAATGTCACCGTCAATTTGTGTAGGGGATCAAAAAGGGTTTTAATTACTTTAAAATGGAGGTATCGTATGGAATTGTGAAAAACAACAATTTTTAATCACAATTTCATTCATATCTTTAATAATATCAGTATTTTAGAGTACTTTGGAAACAGGTACAATGAAAAGAAGTTGAACTTTACTGTTTTGAAGTAGAAACGCAGCCAGAACCAGGTACAAATTGACATGACTGGTGGTCACCAAAATTGATGTATAATAGAAAAAAATGATGGCTTCAAAATTGTGTAGAAATTTGAAATAGTTTACCCGGTTTCATTTAAGATTATTACCGTTCTCTTCCGTATTTGGATACGCAAACGTCAAGTTATGAAAAATCGATGTTTTTGGCGAACAAAAAAGATGGCTGAAATTTTTTAGAACGGACAGGATAAAGAAATAGCAATAACAAGCTATTTTTGATAATGTTTTAATGACTTATTTAATCTATATTGGTCGCAAAACCTACAAATTTTAAAATTCAATTATAATAAAAGCATGACAAGTTGAAATAAATACTTTAAACGTCAATCTTTAAGCCGATTGATTTGGCGGACTTTTTGACGTCACGGACGACTGTAGCGCCATCTAATTAATTCCCCCTGCTATTGTTGCTGATAGAGCTTGACGACAACGGACGTTTCCAAGGACTTGCTTTCCAACTGTTTTGCACCTAGAAATCTTCTTTTTATCAAGTTACATTCTGAAGCGAACAAGAAGCCAGAAAACGTCCGGTGTTTACATTTGAGGCCGGAATCATACCTATGACGTCACATAGTTTAAGCACCAAAGAAGATAACATCATTTCGCGGAATTTTCGTTTAATGAATATTTTACTTAAGGAATGACTGTAATATTTTCTGTCTATGTAGAAATAACATCAAAAATGTGGTGCACACTGAATAACCCGCGTAGCGGGTTATTTTAAAGTGTGCACCACATTTTTTATGTTATTTCGAATAGACAGAAAAAATATTACAGTCATTTCTTATAATTTAATTCTTAATTACACCTTATATAAGAATGCCGGATTTTGATTGGTTGTTAGCCAGTGTATTTTTCGCATATTCTAACATTTTTTCCTCATTCCAAACGAATTTGCCTGTTTTTCACCACTGCCGGTGAATTTGCCTCAAATTCCCCTCTCTGCCGTGGTATTTGCCATTTTGGATATTCCTTTTTTACCCTCGCGAGCCAGTTCCCGCCAAAATTATTCGGAACCTTTCTCACTTTATCCCGACAACATGGTTAAGCACTATTTATTGAGTTAAACCGAAAACTGAGGGAAAAAAATGTCTATACAAATGAACGATTTAATGATGGAATAACAATGACGTTTACACATATGGATACCATGACGTTACAAAATGACAGCACTAACGCGTATAAGTACATGTATAATTCCCGCGATACTACGATTTCCCTTCACATGTACAGACAGTTTCAATCAAAACCTATTCGGTGTAATTAAACAGATAAACCATGTTATGGGGGGGTATTTGCGAAAAATACCAGTCTTGGGACCAAATTTCCCTCGCCTAGCGGCTTGGGAAATTTCACCGTCCCTTGACTGGTATTTTTCGCAAATACCCCTCCATAACATGATATATCTGTTCAAAATTCCATTTTAAACCTGAGTAAACCATGAAAAAACGTTGATGACGTCACGGTCACATGACAAAATTATGTCTATGAGCTGATAAACAAAACAACGTCAGCCAATCAGAAGACGCGTTACATCCAAAATTAAATTATACTGAAATAATGACTAAACTTGAATGATTTGTTTATTTTGCATTAAAATAGAGATAGGTAAACTAAATTTGCGACAGTAAAACTACCGATGGACGTCGGCAAAGCTTCAAATACAATACAGTTATCTCTAAAGTATAAAGCTATGTTTACGCGTACAAAATATGTGATTATTTTTGATAGGTGTTCGGTTGTATGAATGAAGTCGCGTGCATTTCATTGATAAATTGACGCGGATGGACATGAACACCTGACGTTGCTGCACTAATACATGACGTCATGACTTATATTTTCGAGTATCAAGTCCTGTCCATGATCTTGAAAATACTAGGCAGTAAGATCAAATGGGAAATGTACAAATTGCCGATAAAAAAATATTATTCTTAGATGTCAGGTGGGCACTATACAAACTAGAAATAACTTCATAAATTTAAAAAAAAAACGTAGTTTTTTGTGTATTATATAGCCAACAGTTGTACGTGACGAATACTTCTCGCCACTGTATAAAAGGGGTTTTTACCTTATTTCTTCTAAATGGGCAAGGAAGGGTCAGTTATAATCGTTTTTCTTTCCATGTTCAAAAACTTTTGTTCAAAGTAACATTTTGATATAACAATGACCGATAAAAAAAGGAAGCGAGTATTGTCAGGAATATTTTACCCCGCAGCATTGTACTGTGCTGTCTTAAGACATGAACTAGGTGAGCATCTAATGTTTAGGGATACTATAAGTAGACTGGCTTAAATTTATTTTAACTCGTCTTGACTCGGGACTACTTACTATATGAAGTTTTATATAGATGCTTGCCTATTGTTTGTTGACCTCTATATGTCATTTTTTATTTATTGTGTCTATTGATGTAGGCCTTTACCTGGCACTTTTTTTTATCTTGGAGATGGGGTCTTGAAAGTCACGAGTTCCCTTTTGTGTATGTTTCTGTAGAAAATCAAATTCAAAAACATAACAAATGCAAAACAGTATGAAAGAAAGTATTGCCCATAGTTATGATCGGAAATAATTTTAGTACCAATATCCCTTGTATTCTTCACCTGCAACACACCGTATATTATTTTTAAATGGTATTTGTTACATCGTTAACCGAGACAAAAGGTTAAAACAGTTCCAGATTTTAGAGGCCGTAATAACTGCTGCTGAATTTTTGTAAATTATTTTGTTCCAGTGGAGTGTGTTTCCTCTTAGATCTTTTCTTGTTCTCTTCTAACCGATGCAAAGAATTTGGGTGTTCATTTCGGATTTTTCAATGTGAATCATCGCACAGAGAAATAGAGAATACTATTATCGACTTGATCCCTTAAATTACAAAATTGAATGTCAAACACGCAGAGAACATTGTTTCATAAGTTCATCCTTTATGATTTAATTATTTATATTTATACGTTTAGTGAAATTCAAATCACTAGAATTACTTCTGTTTAATCCGGAAAAGGCAGACTTCAAATCCCTTTAATAAATCTTCAAGCTGGACACAGATGGTGCATGCATGGATAAAAATATAAAGGGTCTATAAGAAATCAAATTAAGCTGATGCTAAAAGTTGATGAATATTCCCTATTCAAGCTACACTATCTCCTTGAAACCATATTGGAAATAGAAATACAGAACCCGTAACATCTCTCTACAGGTTGAAATTAAGTCATTTCACATTTTTTTTCATTTAATAATTAAAACTTTATTGTCATACTTGTATACGAGTATGAATAAGCCAAATATAGATATTATGAATTAGGCCGTTAGTTTTTTCAATTGAATTGTTTCACATTTTTCATGTCGGGGCCTTCTATAGGCGACTATACGGTATGGCTTTTTCTCATTGTTGAGTGCTGTGCGATTGCCTATAATTGCTTGCATACACTTTATTTCAATTTTTGGTGGATAGTTGCCTCATTGGCAATCATACCACATCCCCTTATTTTTATATTATGAGTATGAAATATTTGTCGCTGAACTAAATGACATTCAATTAATTAATTGTAAATTCAGTTAACACTTCGGAGATGGAATCATTAAATATATAGATTTAGTTAATGTAAATTAAATATTTCGTCTATCAACTATGTGAAGACGACTGAAAGTGCCCTTCAATAATGCACCATATAATGTTTAATGACACGAATTAGAATTCATCCTAAAATGTTTGTAAAAATATTTTCCTACAGGATTTACACAAATAAAACAGTCTAAAGTTTACGAGATGTATGTATGTAAAATAAGCAGTTAACACTTCCCTCCTTCATGACAGGAACTCAGCTAGCAATAATAAAGGACACTGTGAAACATCGAAAGTAATATAAAACATGGTCAAATTCGGCATGTGAAAACTATTAATATGATTTTTGTTTATCAACTTAAAGTCATGTATGTGTCACTTCAATCAAACACCATTTGCATAAAAAGAACTGAACTCAGATAAGCATATGACAGCTTGTTAGATGCATTGGCAGTGTGTATTTTATCAACAATGTTAGGGAATTTCTGTTGAGTTCCATGTTTAAAATGAGTGTTTATTTTATACCTTCTTTTGGTATTTACCGAGTTCTTACTTTGTGTCCTCTTGGGATTCTGCCATGGGTGGACCGAAATGTCCATTTTGGACTGAGAGGGTAAACACATACAAATTACTATTTGAACATACGTAATGTGCGAAACTTTCTAAAGTATTTTTCAACACACAGTCTAACAAATATGTCGGAAATGCAGTCAATAAAGTGTTTTATATGATGCAAGTCTGATAAATTACGATGCAAAAAGTGGCGACCCGGTCTTGTTGTTAAATCATCTTGTGTTTCCAGCTCTTAATATATTAATCTTTAAATTGTCAGCACCAGTTTCATGAGCGTGCATGCAAATATAAAAACCAATGTAGTCGTTTTCCGTACTGGTAGACGACTTTTTCAGGGACAGAAAATTAAAATTTACTTTTGCCATAATTATAACGTCATATTGACGTCATGGATATCACGTCATTGCTTTAAAATACACTAAAGTGACCGATGGTCAACAATGTTATAAAGCATTTTAAAATTAGTTAGTCTATTATAGGTTGCAATGTTTTGATTTATAATGTATACTTATTGCAATATTGATGAAACGACATATATGTCGCCTTGGCATCAAACCACCAAACGACATATATGTCGCCTTGGCATCAAAGCCCCAAACAACATATATGTCGCTTTGGCATCAACACTCAAACGACATATATGTCGCTTTGGCATTAAGAGGGTTAAGTTTTTTTTATATACAATGCGTACTTTTAACATAATTATACGATTATTGTAGCATTACACTTTCGAATCCACTAATCTTTTTTTTACACTTCATTGAATTGTACATGTATTTGATTCCTTATTCATCTTGCCACAGCCCTAAAGAATTCAACAGTTGACCACATTCATATTTATTCTTGAATACTTAAAATAATATTCAACTTGTATCTAACGTGCTTTCAATTTACTGCTTTAAAATGTTTATAGACAGTCATAGTTTTAAGTTTAAACATTTAAAAATATTTTCAGCAACTATCAAGAAGAACATACATATATGTTAGATATGTTGAATTCCTTATTACCAGATACAATGACACAAATAGATCGGGCGACTAGCAAAGCAAATCTTAGATTTGAGGAGCTTCCAAGACAACCGAATGATTTTATGAACAAATGCACAACAGCGATTGAAGCAGTAATGATTCGTTACATAAAAATGAAAGAGGACCTGTAAGTTTAGTTAGAATAATAAATCTTGATTATGTATAAAGAATTAATTATTATTTTGAACTATGCTTAAATTATAATTATGAACTTCAGTTAAATTTTGTACTAGGCAAGTTATTTTCAGACAAATACGGTAAGATAAAGGCAAAAATAAAAAAGTAGGTTCTTTAAGTATGTCGGTGTATCATTCCACCTGATATGGCCGACCGTTGAAAGAAGATTAAGATTTTAACATGATTTGTTTATAAATGTTTATATGTAGTTAGTATTTTTTATAACAGTATGCGATTCTTTTATATTTAATAATCGAGGAGACAAAAGAAAGTGACTCCCCTTGTCAGACAAAATTGGACACAAACGTACAGAAAGAAATAAGATATTAATTCAAAGAGGCATAAGTCAATATATAAGTTTGTTCTTCCAGCAGCGAGCAGAGATCGCTTCCAGTTTTTAACCGGGTGTTGGGGTTGTGTGGCGGGTTGGCTGGCAAATATGTTTGGGCGTGCATTAAGGCATGTGGTTTCAGCTGTTTGCGTCTAATACTTCATGAACAGTTAAATTAATATAAAAATAAGAAGATGTGGTATGATTGCCAATGAGACAAAAAACGCCCCGAAATGACAAATGTAAAATAATTCAAACGAGAAAACGGCCTGATTTATGTACAAAATAATGAACGAAAAACAAATGTGATATATAGCAACAAACGACAACCACTGAATAACAGGCTCCTGACTTGGGATAGGCACATACAGAATGTGGCGGGGTTAAACTTGTTTGAAGGCGCCAACCCTCCCCTAACTTTGGACAGAGGTGTAACAATACAACATAAGAAGGCTATTCACGTTTTAATATGTTGTTACAAATGACAAAAAAGAGTTCAAGTTAGATATTTGCTTTTTTGAAAAAATGGCACTTAATGCCGTTCCGTGCAAACAGTTAGGCACTTTCAAACCTATTCGTTTCACATTTTTACATGGTTTTTATGATGACAATATGAGGTCAAGTTCGATATTGACGATTTTCACTTTTACCATTCAGGAGTTGTAATGGCCTGACCATTAAGCATAACCATCGATTGGGCTCAAGCAATAAGACTATCAGGTGCTGATAATTTATTCCCAAACCAATCTAAATAAATGGTAAAAAGCTGAAAATACAAAATAAAATACAATTTTACAATGTGTTCAATTAATGTTATAATGTATGAATGTCAAGTGTAGACAATAGCAAAGTCCATAGAATGCGAAATAAAGCTGCAGTTATTAAAGGTGAAGTTTCCAGTATATCACGGATAAAAAAGTTTATTTATGTGAAGAACGATTTGAAGGCAACAAATTACAAAGTTATAAATGTAACTCACTCTGTGCTTAGCCACGAATTGTGTCCTAGATGACGTTTGTCCTCAGAATGTTCTCCGGTACTGAGATGACCTTGCAGTATTCAGTTCGAGGTACGTTTAAGAAAGGGAAAGGTAACGATGATACGATGTTTTGACATTCTAGAAGGTTTAACAATGAATAATCATCCTAGGTCTGGAACGCATAGATTAAAAATATAATTAAACAAACTGTTTAAAATGACGAATGAGGTTACAGAATACTCCCCGTCTGATATCTATCTGATCACTATTCTATAAAATATAACACATATGAATGTCACTATATAGATCCAATATATGTACACAGAATTATACAAGGTCGTTCTCTAAGAGAAGAATCATGTCCACGATGGGGCGAGTGTAGATAGTGACTTTTCCATTAACGATTACTCGCACTTCTGCTTCTCGGACATGTTCGTCGGAACTTTTAAATGAGTTCACTATAATTCCAACGGGCCACTGGGTTCGGCAAAGGTTTTTGTCCTTTAGAAGAATGACGTCTCCTTCGATGAGATCACGCCGATCTTCGGTCCATTTTCGTCGTTGTTGTAGTAACGGCAGGTACTCTTTCCTCCAACGGGACCAGAAAACACTGGCTAGTGCCTGTATTCGTCTCCATTCGGCAAGACATAGATCTCGTTTGTCGAATTCTCCAAGATGATCTGAAGTTAAAATGTAGTCGGTTTTCTGTGCCAATAACATAGCCGGAGTTAATATTAACGGATTCTCTGGATCTGTTGATACCGGTACTAGAGGTCTAGATTTCACTATTGCTGAAACTTCTGCCATAAGTGTGTTGAGCACGTCATGCGTTAGGCTTCTTCCGGCTGCATTTAGAAGCATAGAATCAAGAATTCTCCTGGTGATACCAATCATTCTCTCCAAGGCTCCACCCATGTGGGACGAATGCGGCGGATTGAAGATCCAAGTTGTAGCAGAATTGTACAGAAAGTTCTTGAAGGGTCCATCTTCAACGTTGATTGAGTCAATCTTTAACTCGTCGATTGCGCCAATAAAGTTGGTTCCGCGGTCAGATCGGAAAATCTTAATTGGCCTCTTATAGCGGCGAATCTCCTGACGGCGTTTATGAAGGCCGAAGAACTCATTTCCTCAATTAGTTCGATGTGAATAGCACTTGTCGCTAAGCATGTGAATAAAATTGCCCAACGTTTTGAGTTGGCGTATCCACCACGTGTTTTACGTGAAACAATTGTCCAGGGTCCAAAGGTGTCTATTCCAACGTTAGTAAAAGGAGGTGACGGTTCAAGACGGTCCTCTGCCAAATCAGTTATGATTTGATACTCGGTTTTTCCTCTGAGTTTGCGGCATGTCACACATTTGTGAATAATAGAAGAGATCAAGCGTTTTGCTCCGACGATCCAGAATCCTGCGGATCGAATAGCTCCATCTGTGAAATGGCGACCTTGATGTTTTATCTTGTCATGGTAGTGTCGGACTAATAATGTCGCTAAATGATGGCGTCCAGGGACGATCAATGGTTTCTGTTCACGGAGGTTTAAGTCAGATTTGGCAATACGGCCTCCTACTCGTAATAGTCCTCGTTCGTCCAAAAACGGATTGAGGTTAGCTATCGGGCTCCGCTAATGGATTTGTTCCTGACGTCTAATGCAATCTATTTCATCTCCGTAAACTTCATGTTGAGCAGATATCAAGATGAAATTCTCGGCATTCGATAAACCTTCCAGAGAAGTCACTGATGCTGCCTGTTTTGACACGTGTAACCGGGAGAAACGTTCCAAAAAGGCTATCGCACGCACAAGTGATGTTCAGTTGGAGAATCGGTTGAACCTATCAGTTCCGATACCTTTATGCTCAGGTGTGGCAAATGGTTTTGCAACATTAACAGTTGCACGGATTTCTCCATCTTCCTCTGGATCTATTAGCTGATATTATGTCCTCAGAATCCTTCTGTTCTAAGGAAAGAAGTTGTCTTGGTCCCAACAACCATCCACTGCTATGAATTTCGTGGGCTGGTACAGACCTGGTTCCCGAATCTGCGGGATTACGGTTAGTATGTACATAATTCCATGGACTTGGAGAGCTAAATTTTCTTATTTTTTCTACTCTGTTGGCGACGTCGATAAAGAACCTTCTTGTCTCGTTACTGATGTAACCTAAGACCACTTTACTGTGTGTAGAATTTCACGGTGTCTATGTGTAAATCTAAATTATCCACGATGGTTTGTGTAATATCAACTGCTAATACAGCAGCAGATAGTTCCAGTCGTGGAATAGTGTGACCACTTGTTGGTGCAACTTTAGCTTTCCCAAGAATGAACCCTGTGTTTGGTTCACCACTACTGTCGGTCGTGCGTAGATATGCAACAGCTGCTATGGCTTTTTCTGATGCATCAGAGAAGACATGTAACTCCTTTGTGGCGGTTTTGCTGAGATACGGCACGTAGGTACGTGAAATGCGCAATGTTTCGATAGCAATTAGAGTATCTCTCCAAAATTTCCACTCAGCTGCTGTCTCAATAGAGAGAGGTTGGTCCCAATCGACGGTTTCTGATACTATTTTCCTTAATAGGAGTTTCCCTTGTATAATCACCGGAGCCAAAAATCCAAGAGGATCGTAGAGACTGTTTATCGTTGATAAAATTCCTCTCCGAGTGATCGGTTTGTTTTCTGATGATAATTGAAATAAGAAGTTGTCAGTGTTTACGTCCCAGCTGAGTCCAAGACTACGTTGTAGGGGTTTGCTGTCGGATTCTAAGTCTAGATCCTTTAGATTTGAAGCCAAATCACTGGCATGAAACGCAGACATAACTTTCGCACAATTAGAGGCGAACTTGTGAAGCCTTAAGTTTCCATATTTTGCTAAAGCCTGCTGTTTGTCCCTCATGAGCTTAACAGCTTCCTCTTTTGTAGGACATGACGTAAGACCGTCGTCGACAAAGAAGTGTATGGTAACAAAGCTAGTCACGTGACTGCCGAACTCTTGTTCTGATGCCTAAGCTGCTTTTCTGAGACCAAGCGTAGCAACGGCAGGTGAGGGACTATTTCCGAAAACATGAACTCTCATGCGGTATTCGACAAGGTTCTCTTGTGGTTCGTTGTCTTTATGACATAAAAATCTCAGATAATTTCGGTGGTCTTTTCTGACTACAAAACAGTGAAACATGTGTTGAACGTCTGCAGTTACTGCGACCATTTCTTTCCTGAAACGCAGCAGTACTCCCAAGAGATCATTAGTCAAATCTGGACCTGTTAGCAGGACGATGTTTAGTGAAACTCCGTTACATTTGGCGGAAGAATCAAACACACCCCTAATCTGATCGGGTTTCTTCGGATGATAAACACCAAACAATGGTAAATACCAGCACTCCTTGTAGTCGTTCAACGGTGGAGCGAGTTCTGCATGATTGTTGTCTAGGATCTTACTCATAAATGTAAGAAAGTGTTCCCGCTTTACTGGGTTTCTTCTCAGACTGGCGTCTAACAAATTAGCACGAAGAAGAGCTTGTGGTCTGTTGCTTGGCAATTGTTGTCTGGGCACTCGGAACGGTAACGGTGCTACCCAACTTCCTTCTGAGTCCCTCACAAATTCGTTGTCCATCTGTTTCATGAACATTTTGTCTTCATATGACATTCCAGGCTT